TAGACAGATGTTGGCTGATCTGATGGCCAAGAGTGAAATATTGTAACAACTATTAGATTAACTGCTAAGACATTTCATCCAGACATTCACTACAGAGGGTTAACTCTACTGAATGTCTTGACATCCTGACTTTTCCTCTTTGCCACCATGAGGTATGAATTTCTGGTTATCAGTTAAATAGCTTGATAATTCTTGAAGAGATCAATGTAAAATTTTTGCTCATAAAATCGTGTCCTCCATTGGCTAACTTCTGCAGTCCTCTGACTTCTTATCTAGAACTTTCATCATCATTACCATTTCAGTTTGTCAAATACTTTGTACCAGTTACTCACAACAATTAATGCATTTTTATGAGCCTCAGTTACACCTTGTGTTTGGTGCCAATTAGCAAATGTTAGCATGCTGACACGCTGAAGCAAGATAAACTTAGTAAATATTCATTTATTCATCCATTTTCTTCCCCTAATCTGGGGTTGGGTTGCTGTGGCAGCAGCCTGAACAGATCAGCCCAGTTGCTCTGAGCAACAGTTTTGAGCTCCTCCTGGGGGATCCCAAAGCATTCCCAGGTCAGATGGGATACTGTACGTAATCCTTCCATTGAGTTCTGGATCTACCCAAAGGAGCCAGAGGAAGGCTCCCCAGGAGACATCCTAATCAGATGCCTAAACCTACTCAACTGCTCATTTCAACGTCAAGCAGCAGCAACTCTGCTGCAAGCTCCGTCCCCTATCTACAAAGCTGACCCCAGCACTCATACTGCAATCTCAGCATTTCCATCACTGTCCAGAGCTCATGATCGTACGAGAGAGTTGTAGCGTAGATCGGCTGGTAAATCCAGAGATTTGCCCTCTGGCTCAGCTCCCTCTTCACTACGACAGTATGGTTGCATTCTGCTGACACTGCACCAACCCATCTGTCCATCTCATGCGCCATTTTCCTGACACTGATTATCAAAATCCCAAGATATTTAAACCAGCAGCTCACTCCCAACCCGGAGGGAGTAATCCATCCGTTTCTGGCAAAAAAAAACCCAAAAACCCACGGCCTCAGACTTGGAGGTGCTGACTCTTCACACTCAACTGCCCGAGTGCGTGCTGAAGGTCACGGCCTGATGAACCGCGTCATCCACAAAAAGCAGAGATGGACTATGAGTTTCCCTACCAGACACTACCGCTGTACCTTGGGATCCCATCATATGTGATAGTCATGTATCATGGTCAACACTACTATCTAAACATTAGCATGTGAGCTTTGTCCTGTGAGTATGTTGGTGAGCTAATGACAGAGTATTGCTAAGTGTCTGAGAACAGCATCACAGACCTGCTGTCATGGCTGCTTGAACCCCATGTTCACTCTTTATGCTAAGCTAAGCTAACAGGCTATTGGCCGTATTTAACACACAGACACGAGAGTGTCAGCCTGCTCATCTGACCCTCAGGCTTATATGCATATCTTCTGAAATGCCAAACTTTTCTTTACACTATCTTTATCTGTCTTTACTGCAACATGTATAGCGATCTCAAACATTATTATCCTGTTGAATCAAGTTGAGTGTATGTCGCTTTAAGCTAACTTTGTGAGCATAAACTGCAGTGTTTTAATGAGATAAAGAAAAGCTGATTTCAGACCTGGGTCAGGTAGCATCAGGTGGTTGCTTAACCTAATTGGACTTGTAAGTGGGCCAGGTTTGCCACTGGGGACAACACAATCAGTGCCAGTGAGATAAAACAATTAAAGAAGTAGCTTTACAAATTGCTGCATAGTTCTTTTCTGTGACTACAACTATTTGTGAGTTGTCCTGATGCAGTGAACTTTAACCATCTTCCAAGTAGAAAAAAGATGCCTAAGATCATTTTTGTGTGTGTGTAATGATAAACCACGTACCTAAATTGGATCGGGTGTTGGACCGGTCCATTAAGGCCTTTTTGCCAGGGTTGTTAAGGATGGAACGTTTAGCCAGAGAGATGTCTGCTGTGACCCGTGTGATAGTTATTCTGGAGAAGAGACAAAAAAGCAGTTATTATTATACTTTCGCAATTCTAATTATTATTTTACTTCTAAGTAAATAGCGGGACCATGAAAAGTTCAATCAGAACTTACCTGCCTTCAAATCGATGCTTTAAAAAGTCAAATAGCGCTTTTTGCATCATATCAGTAACCTGAAATTAAAAAAATAATAATCCAATTGAAAAAAATCTTCACATTAAACAAATGATATCGAAGTTTGAAATTTGTATTAACAGCATCTTAGGCCCTTCACAGACAGGACACTCACCTCTAAGCCCTTCAGTGACGGTCCCATTAGAACCACAGGACGCATTGTAGGCACAACATCATACATGGCCACCTGCTCCCCCTGTGGACACAAACATGTCAAAGATCCATTTAGAATAGAGACAGACATCTTGTGGTTTTATGTAAAAGTGTCATGTCTGGCTGTAAATGTGTGTTTACACTGTTGGCAGCATGTCACTTAAGGCGCACTGAACTTGTCGCTTATAAGCATTTTTTTTTTTTTACATAGTCATGGGATTGATCATCTTTCTGCACGTTTTTGTTCCCACAGCAAAGGGATTTTTGTTTAATAAACAGGACTTATGTATGGCCAATTTTAATGGGTTAATTGATACATATGCTGTGTTTGATTCACAACTGCATTTCATATCTGCCCGGTTTTTTGGTCATTCACAGAGAAACAGGTGCAGACGATCGATGGCTCTGTCCACATCACTGCTAATCCACAGAAACAGAATTGTCCTTATTGTATTAATATTTGGCCTAAATTGATTTGATGAATAGCAGAGAGTGAGTTAGTTATTAGTACTATTCTGACCATTGATTAATCATTTCAGACAGTTTTCAAGTAAGAAGAGGTTGGTTCTGGATGTTTGGCCTGCAAAAAGAAGGCATTTGTTTTCACCGTGTGGTCATTCTTTTCTGGCTTTTAGTCATAAAACGATTGATCGAAAACAAAACTAAAAGACTATTCAACAATAGAAATTAAAGGTATTTGCATTTCCAATAAATGTGAATCATAGAATTGTAAAATAAAGTTCAGGAGCCCTTAGGAATATCCATGACAGTGAGGGAAAAGTGCATCAACTAATTACAGCCAATGTTGAGGTCAAATGAAGGAAGTCTATGAGATGCTTTAAGTCATCTTTCCGTGGAAGCCGACAGTCTGTCAAGTTTAAAGTCAAAATATTTTTCTATTCTACCAAATGTAAAACCATTATAATTACAAGAACTCTGGTTCGCTATGTCGTACTAAATCCAGGTGCAGAGAAGGTTGACAGCACTTGTTTCGGTTCAGTGGCCTGTGTTCAACACATTCAGACCAAATGGGAAATCCAGCAGTCTCTGCATCTGTCCAACATGTATCAGTGCTTTGTAGTTTTCTCAAATGCTTTTCAACAAATGCAATTCACTAGAGGGCTTATTACCACATACAAATACAACAATAACCAAATTCTGCAGTGCAAAAATAAACAGGTGAGATCATGAGTGTTGTTCCATTGAAAATCCTTTGTGTTTCTGAGGATGACTGTTCTTTATAAAGAGGTTGAAACACTTACCGGCTTCTTTTTCACCTGCTGAGTGGCTGTTCATGTGGAGGACAAGAGAAACAGCTAGTGTTAATTCATCAGTCTTCATAAATCAGAAAAGAAAAACAATTTGAAAACATGCACTGACCTTGTGATGGAGGAGTATATTTCTTTGAGTTCAGATCTTGAGCTGCTTGAGATGCTGCTTTGCTGAAATGGGAGAAAAGTTCTGAATTAGCTCACACATCTCATCTCGCCCTCTGATAAACAGGGATTTCATTACACTCTAAATTTTAGTGCTCCAGGCGTGATAAAAATAGATCACCATGTGTCTAAGCAAGAAGAGATTTTGTGCTTGGAGACTGTATACTGTATCTACTTATATAAGACACGGCTATATAAAGCTCAGAGGGTAAATCCCTTGAAGTGATTCAACACACACAGTTGCCACCAAAGTCAAATTTCCAAGATCCCCTCGATGCGTTTCTGTCAAACTAACTGGGTCAAGTTAAAAGCTGTTAGTGTGTCGGGGATCGTCTGCCTGCCAGGCTGATTAGAGCAAAAACATCCTATTGACTGAGCAAAAGAAAAACATTCCCACAGCAGTTTTGAATTTTATCTTACGCAAGTTTCACCTCTCTGAAAGTTGATTTTAAACCAGACTAGAATGAAGAGAAACCGACAGCTGTCAGAAGTCTCGGAGCACGTATTTAAAAATCACTCAAAGCTAAAATCATGCCGTTGTGCTGTTGATTGTCCCTACCTCCCTGTTTTTAAAAAAAAAGCCCCTGTCTTACTGTGTGACAGTTGGTTTGTGGTAATTCACAACTTTGTTCTAAGTATGTATGCTGAACATGTTGTAAGGACAAAATTTATGGTTTGGGATGTTCAGATACAAACATTAATCTCATCTGACTTCACTCAATAGAGGGATCTTCTTTTGTTTTGTTTTTTTGATCATTTCCTGTGATATTCAATTTAAATGGAGTGAATTTCCAAATAAATGAGAATGTAGTTAAATGACAACAAACGAACTGACAAAAACAACCAATCTAAGGCCAGGTAGGACTAAAGGTTGCTAGTCTCTCAGACAAACAAAATACAATTTCTGCGTTCTTGTATTTCACTCTGTGTATGTGAATTCAACATTTGCAAGTAGCTGAAGTTATAAATGACAAAACCTTTAATTTTGATCTCATTTATAATTTTCATTTGCTATGAAGACAGAAATTCTAGAGTTTTGTGTAGCAGGCCAATTAATGCTCACATCCTGGAATAAAGAGAAGAAGGTGTAACATTTTGATAAGCCTAATCTGCTGACATGAGAAAAAGAAGCTGGTTAGCAAACAGCTTGAATTATTTTTTTTAGCAAACACTGCAAAAAAAGAAAATGTTTGAATGAAAATGTATTTTAATTACAGTAAAAATACAGGAATTTTATGAGATGGCTATATTTTGCTACTTTTGCTGCTTAAACAATTTAATTAAAGAATTGATTATTGTTTCTTTTGAAAGCGACATCTATGCGTATGTCTTTAGGTGTGTAGTGTGTTTTATCTTGTTTTTTGTATTAAAGCAAAAAAAAAAGAAATATTCTGTGACCGCAGAAAAGGTGCACTGTATGCAACCAGACAGTGATAGTGTCTATAAACCATATGATATGCATAAACGTTGAGCTGAGAAACACTGACACTAAAGTGGCTGATCACCACAGATAGACTTCAGGTTTTTCTGTCACAAACAACCTTCTGCTGAACACCAACTTCAGCACAGAACCAAATTAGATCCAAAACTGAAATTTTAGCCTTTACACAACTAACTGTTGACAATATTCTGCTTTTTAACTTGTAAAACAGCCTGTGTTGGATTAAAAGGAGAGGCAGTGCTAGCTGTATGTTTCTTACATGGTTGTGCCGATGATTAAATAAAACAAGGAAAGACATAATGATGATTGGTTGTCTTCAGATGGGTCAGTTGTGGCTCATCTTTACCACAGATTAAATATTATTATAAATTATAAATTTGACTCTTTCCCACCTTTTTTTGTCAAAATATAGTTTGATTAATCTCTGGCTTGATTCGTATTTACTTTTGGTCACTTAAAAAAATGAACATTTGGATTCAAAGAGAAGCACCGTGTACGTACTTGGCTAAGGCCTTGGCAGCTTTCCTCGCCTGGACTTCTCTTCTGATGAGAATGGTTTCCAGATTGACTGGACTGGGGATGAAGCCCACCACACCATCCTCCTTCACCGGCCGGCCGATCCACCAGTCATTGTTAAACTTCTGGAGATCAAAAAATAAGAAAATAGAAGGAGTGTGAATGTATGACTTGATTCACCAATGTGGCTCACATCTATCAATCGGATCATATATGATTCAATTCTGCAACTGCATTATTGGCTTTAATCTCTCTGTTAAGCATTGTCAGGCCTTATCAGCTAAGCAGGGCCATGTTGAAAAACTTTTAAATATCGGGGGAAGTAGACTCTGGGCATATGTGTGAAATGAGAAAAAACAAGACTTTTTGAATCACTTCGTCGTCATCTTTCATTTTTTTCGTGGCACCCTGAGCTGCCTCTGTAGTTTAACCTCTGCAGTCAGTTCCTTGTAATAACTCCTCTCGCATGTGCATGTGCAGGATGTGTGTGTGCGTTTGTTTCAAACCTCTTTGACGTGTAAGAAGTCTCTGGCCTCGAAGGTGACGGCCTGGCCCGGCACAGGGACGTTGTCGTCGTCTGCTGGCGTGTAAGAGAAGTTGCAACGTACAGCGAATGCCACAGGCTTGTACTGGGGACACAGGGCAGGGTTAGAGAAATGGTGAAATCTTGTGACACCAACATGAGATCAGTACAGATCACAGTCATCAGGCTGCAAATGCCAAGGAGCATAATACACAATAACATGNTATCAGCTAAGCAGGGCCATGTTGAAAAACTTTTAAATATCGGGGGAAGTAGACTCTGGGCATATGTGTGAAATGAGAAAAAACAAGACTTTTTGAATCACTTCGTCGTCATCTTTCATTTTTTTCGTGGCACCCTGAGCTGCCTCTGTAGTTTAACCTCTGCAGTCAGTTCCTTGTAATAACTCCTCTCGCATGTGCATGTGCAGGATGTGTGTGTGCGTTTGTTTCAAACCTCTTTGACGTGTAAGAAGTCTCTGGCCTCGAAGGTGACGGCCTGGCCCGGCACAGGGACGTTGTCGTCGTCTGCTGGCGTGTAAGAGAAGTTGCAACGTACAGCGAATGCCACAGGCTTGTACTGGGGACACAGGGCAGGGTTAGAGAAATGGTGAAATCTTGTGACACCAACATGAGATCAGTACAGATCACAGTCATCAGGCTGCAAATGCCAAGGAGCATAATACACAATAACATGCCGTAAGACTGCGCAAAAAGGGAAATTCACCTTTACATATGATTATAAAAATAGAAATAATATTACATCTTAGAAAAGCATTTAGATATGCAGTTACTGTGCAATAAAATATTATATACCTAAAAGCATGGCTATGTGTCTGCGTAGTTTTTCTTAGGTCTCTGTTTCAATAGCAGTGTTTAGAAATGTGGAAAAATATATAGTAGTTCAGTGTGCAGCAGTCATCCAAATATATATGTAATAGTGTACTGTAGCAATACTATATTGCCCATAAAGTTGGAATAATTCTTGTTTTCAGACATAGTCTTCTTTTTATTTCCATTTATACACAACAACAATCACTTTTGACCAGTTCAATGATCACAGACTGCGTCCCAGTTACCAAGTGAAAACAATTCTGACTTCAGGATCTGACTGAAGAGTGGGACGTCCTGCCCATTGACACCATCAACAAGCTGGTGGACAGTATGCCACCACGTCTGAACATATTGATCCATGTCAGGGGTGGTCATACTCAATATTAGCGACAATTGAAAGAGGAATTGGACATTGTAATGCATGAAATCCTCTAGAGCATGTGTTTCCTGTTAAATAGAAAAAAAACATTAATCCCATTGTTCAATATCCCCAATTTAGTTTAAGCCTGAATGCACAGTTTGCAAAAGTTCATTGTGGTTTAATTTTTAATGTGATATGTATTGTATGTTTATTGTGATATCAATAAAATGTGATACTCTTTATCTATCAAGAATAAATCGCATTGTCACAATCATTCCATGAGAAGAGGTAAAAAAAATATTTTATTCCAACTTTATGGGCAACAGTGTCCAATAAGAATTTATTTCAGAATAAATTCATCCCTGGGGTTTTTATGCTAACCTCTTAACACTTCCTTGCAACTTACCAGGAGCCCAGTCTCATTTAGAGGAAAGCTGCTGTTAGCAGACATGTCTGTTGAGGAAACTAAGCTAGAAGGGCTGCCCCGCAGGGTCAGCTATCAGAGGAAGTGGGGCTGACGTTTGGATGAAGACAGTCAGAAGGTAGGGGAGTTTCCTCAACGTCAGCCTAAGCTGCTCTTAGAGACCCTATCCAGGTGAGACCCTTTAAGATATAGAACCCCAGAACTCTAGAAACAGAGAGCTGGTCTTGTTCCAGATTTACTGGGGGTCTGACATTGCCCAGAAAATAAGAACTCATGCACTGTATGTGCATAAATCATACATTTTTCATCATAACATTTTCAAAAGAAAATGTAAAAATCTATATTTTTAAATGTAACATAGGAAATCTTACATTTGCCTATACGTTCGTTGCTCCATTTTAAATTGTGTTGTGTAATGAAACTGGACATTGTGTCAGCGACACTGGAGAGCTTTGCTGGTACGATGTGAACATGCAACCTAATGCAGGTTAAAATGAAGACTTTGACAAATGTTACATCACAGCAAATCTAAAGTACATGAGCTGAAGATGTGATGATTGCAGAGTAATGTTAAACTATTGTAAAAAATTTGCAGCACACATGGAAATCTGCATTAGTCTGTTTCACAGATATGTCACAGTAGACAAAGTACAAGTGTAAATAATGAAATTAATGATTGCTGAATTGCATTTATCTGCTTCAGTTTCACTGTCATGGATTACCAGGACAACAGAGCTGCTGTTAATAGCATTAGCAACACCTGTTCTTTTCCCACTGTAACAAATGAACATGTCTGCTGTGGAGAAAAGCCCACTGCATCTTCCTGTTTGCTGCACTTCAGCCACTGTGTGCTTCCTCCTGATTGAACGCCTGTTGGTGCTGTAATCCTATCAGAGTCAAATGTCAGCGGCATGCCGATCAAGCTGCTAATTACTCCACTTTGGAAAGATGAGGCTGTGGGAGAGGCTGCAGGGTCAGCAGGGGACAGGCCGAGTATGTTTGCCGTCTTAATTATGGAGCACCAGTGGGAGCACATTAAATCTGTGGGGAGGGATATAATTCAATATTCACCAGGACATGTATCAGCAAGGGCTGCTTAAAACATCGGCAAAGATAGGGGACGTTTCATATCAAGTCAGACATTTTTTTAATGAATTTGTGTAATGACCTTCATTATCATTGCGCCCTCTGAAAAAAAAACAGTTATTACACCTTTTGTATGTACATAAGCCACAGTATTGGCAGTGAGTTTAGTTTAACAGGTTACAAAAGTTTGACTTTATTTAGTTTCAAATTGTTTTTAAATTTGGGCAGAATTGGGACTTTTTTCTAAAAGGTACTCAGTAAGTAATTTTGTGGTCCCAAGTGAAACAGCACATATAACTAAACAATATAATATGGCATAGAATGAAGACAGAAAACATTTTCTGCAGCACATAATAATAATTTTAGATAATTCTAAATGACTGACACATGAGTGTCCTCGTATGAATTCATATTTTATTGCTATACTGCACTGAGCTTGAAGGTGTCAGAATGTATTTGAACTGAATCGGCAATAATCAATATCCTTCATTATTATCCTTCTCCAGAAACAGAGCACGTGAAGGGATGACTAGGACGAAGACCGCAGTGACTCATTTTAATGGTAGAATATTGCTCTGCTAATCTGATGTCCTGATGTCTGTGTTTCCTGTCTGTGATGTAATCATGTCCTTGAGCGCAGGATCTTTGAACAACGAGTCTGCGAGGAGCGGCGGTGGGTCGAGTCGGGTGATGCAGTGATGCAACCGTGCGAAAGTACCTTGGCCTTCTCCAGCTGCACCTGGGCGTTTCTCTCCTCAACAACGTCACTGTCCTGACGCTCTCCCTGCAGGAGACAGAGGTAACAACAATTAGTCTCATCAATGTCTTGCATCAGTCAGGAAGAGGTGCATGCAAAGAGCTATGAATAGCCTCAGTCAGTATACTTAGTCACTTGAAGACGCATTAGACTCAAAGACATCGGTATGGTTGGGACCACACATCAGTGAAATGAGGGTGATTTTAAAATATTCAGAGTCTTAAAGCTAAGATTATTTTTGTTTAAGTTAAAAATGTTTACAACACATTTTTTAAACTACCTCAGTATGTAATTAGGTGTAAATTAAAATAGCCAAAAATCCATCCATCCATTATCTATACACTGTTTAATCCTCACTAGGGTCGTGGGGGGGGGGAATCTATCCCAGCTGACTTAGGGCGAAGGCAGGGGACACCCTGGACAGGTCACCAGTCTATTGCAGAGCATAGCCATAAATGTGAGGTATATCCTTTTTAACTATAAGAGAACATACATTTATTGAAATCAACTCTGAGATTCAAATTCTGAAAATAAAATGAACACCGACCTCAAGTGGCAAATATTTCTAAAGAGTGCTTCAGTAATTTAATAGTGCCTTTCCATAAAGTTGGGCTGCACAGTGGCTTGGTGGTCAGCACTGTCTCCTCACAGCTAGTCCCAGTTAAGACACCCAGGATCTTTCTACGTGGAGTTTGCATGTTCTCCCTGTGCAGTGTGGGTTCTCTCCAGTTTCTCTGGCTTCCTCCCACAGTCCAAAAACATGTTGAAGTTAATTGGTGATTCTAAATTGTCTATAGATGTGAATGTGAGTGTGCTTGGTTGTCTGTCTCTAATAGGCTACAGCCCCCCCATGACCCCAGCGAGGATTAAGCGGGGTATAGATAATGGATGGATAGATGGATGGATGGATGGATGGATGGATGGATGGATGGATTTCCATAAAGTTGGGGAAAGTGTGAACTGTCCAAATCGATGTAACACAGACTGAAATATGGTTCCTTGTATGTAATGCTGTAGAAACCCTGCATTCTGCTTCTCCTTCAGCTCCTCTCTGCCTGATAAACACCCACATGTTTCACACTCGACTCCTCCAGTTTGTAACACAGGTTTTATTTTAAAATTCAGTTTCTTCACGCCAAAGCTAAGAATACTCAGGAGATGCAGTAGGAATCCTTTTCTCAAACTTGACAACGCTCCTGACAAAAACCTACAAGACATTATACAAATGCTTTCACAGACTAAGTGTAAAAAGAAAAAAGTAAACTTGGTGAAGCGCCCCTTTAAACTCACAGATAAAGCTGTTTTTTTTCTTTTTTAAATGATCTACCTGTGCCAGTTCAGCTTTAACTAAGTTCAGCTTGTACCTTTCTGGCTGCCTTAACAATATTTTTAAACATCTTATGAAATTGTACCATTCTGTTGAGAAAATTCACCAAACCAATGCTTAAAATTTTGATATTTCATCAATACCTTCATATTTTAAAAAAAACCAAAAAAAAAAACATCATCGATTATAATCATGTGATAAAAACTCTGACAGTTAATATACATAGTTTGTGTTACACAGAAGAGCAGACTAAAACACACTGGACCAATAAAATTAATGCAGTATGGCTCATAAACAGTAGACAGCAGCTGCAGATGCACTCATCATGGTGAAGCATCTTTGTTGATGTGCAGAGTAGAAAAATGAAAGTTTGTTGAGGTCGCAAAAATGTAAAGAATTTAACATCTAAGTTTGTGAGGCCTCCATTCTCTCCCAGTATTGGAACACCTGTGGGCACGGGGGAAAATGTTACATTCAATTTTGTTTTCTTATTTTTCAGATAAATAATCTTTTTTGTTTTTATGACTTGTGCCATTATAACTATTATTATGTTATTATTGAGTTATTATTCCTTGAAAGTCATGGTCATGCTGTTTCCATAGAAGTGCAAAAGGAGTTCACGGTGGGCAAAAGGCTCCCAGAAACTGCTTGTTGCTGTTCAGAGGCTTTATTAAGGTCAAAGAGGTCTGTGAATGCAGCACAGAGACAAAACTAGTTTGTTGCAATTAATCAAGTCTGCAAAAAGATTTTATAAGTCCATCCAGATTCCAAGAAAACTCAGACTGACTGAACACCTTCAGAGGTCCACAGATGATCAGATCCAGTATCCAGCTTTTTCCAACTATCAGTATAGTTAAGTATTTCATTAAATTCCCAACAAAATAATGAAATTTAAAAATGCAGCACTCTATCAAGGATGCAGCTGCCTCTCTTTGTCTGCCCTCCCCTCTCTGTGTTATTGAGCCCCATCCTGCCCAGGGCACCATCCGATTAGTTACACATCACGAGTAACAGCCAATCAACAATGAAGGACATATCGTGCAAAGTTCTCTTTTATTTAAACATGTAAAACATAAACACACTCAGGCATTTCAACCAAGTTTTGTGTTGGACTTGACACCAGGATTTTCATCTTCACCAAAAATGCATATCGACTCCAAATATCACTTATTGGTGTCTTTGATTACTAACAATCGGTACCGGCTCTGACAAAAACACACCCGTCGACCCCTAAACACTACACCGTTGAGATTCTGATGCGTCTCATGGACATGTGTTCTCATTTACTGTTCCTTTCTCCAGAAAGCTTGTGCCTTTAATTGTCAGGAAGTGTTGCAGCAGTCCCCCTCCTGGGACGCTCAGGTTTATGTGCCATGTGTCCCTGAGATTAGATTGTCCCCTCAAAGACATGGTAATTAATGCCCTCTGTGTCATAGCCAGGAGGTGGCACAGCCCCCCGCGTCAATCTGGCACTCAAGATACACACTTGCATCCCAAAGTCACAAATCAGCTCTCTTGTAGTCGACTGTCAGCTCAGTTTGGTGCGTTTTAACAGCACAATGATTGTGAGTCTTAGGAGTGTAAAAGTTAATCTCAAATCTGTTCTCAAATGGTTTGCACACAGAATGCTTTTGGTATTCTGTCAACATCAGTGAGATGGAACTTAAATGTTTTATGCTATATCTTAAATTTACTCACATTTTGCAATTTTAGCCCCACTCATAGTAACGTGTTTCCGTTACATTCATTCAAGACATGTTTCTGTGCATCTCAGGTTTGTTGCAACATGTGTTTGTTTGGGCCATTTGGGTTTACTGTTTTGCTCGTTATCTCATTGAAAGCTGAGGAACAAACAACTAATTGTATGGTTTGATTTCATGGGTCAGCCTTATAAACCCTAAGCTGTAGTTTGTATGAAAAATCACACCTTTACCGCAATTAAAACACTGTGAAGTCTTCAGAGCTACTGAGGGGAACACACATGACTAAGCCCTGCTCACATCTAGAACCTACAGCAAGCTACCTGACTGTTCAGACCACTGACAGTACATAAAAAGATTCAAATATTCCTGACGTGGCTTTTTGCTATTTTCCTCTGCTGATCTTTATTGTTTTTAAAGTAAATCATTAAAAATGAATGATTATCGATATCAACTAAAATGAAATGTTTCATTATGAGACATTTTTTAACCGTGTCACCAAGCTTCATGGTGATGTTTTAAACATGCATTATTTTGGTTCACAGTGTAGAATAACAACAAGATGCACCAAGAAGGTTTTAGCTGCTGGAGATCTGACTGCATTCTTCTATGCTGTAGCTGAGCCAGTGGTCATTCTGATGGTATGACACTGTTTACTGTCGAGGATTTCCATTTGTTTTTTCCTGCTCTATCTATTGCTCCCGGCAACAACGGCCTGATTAATGATTTTATGGTTCTATTTGGACAACTTTAAGCCCTAAGGCTAAAGTTTATGGAAAGATTGTTTTGAGGAATTGAACGGTGACATGATTAATGAGACAAGTGGAGTTTAGTTGAACGCAGAAGCCAAAACCACAGCTTTTTTCCTGACCTAAATAAAAGCATCCTCCTTATGAAGCAGGATCTTTGGAGGCTTTGCAACAACAAGGAACCAACCGTGATTTAATGAGCCACTCACAGTTTCACTGTGCTGGCTGTTCACAGTGAACCCTGCCCACCCCAACCTGTCCTGCCTACGAACGACACACAGCTTTGTTAACTGGAAAAACTGCTGCTACTGAACACAACCCAGAGAACATTCACATTATCCAAGAAAATGTAACAGCGGACATGGCTGCCACACCACTTTAGCTGATGTGTGTTTTCTCAAAAATGGAACTTTGTCTCAGCTCTGTGGTGGCTCCTGAGATCAGTCTTAAAGACTTTAAAATGCACTTTGTTTTATCCGAGACAACGTAGCTCTTTTCTGTTCACTAAAGAAGCTAATGAGAGCACACTGAATGAATGTTAGTTCAGACTGTGTTCACTGTTCAAACCTCATGCTAGAGAACAATTTCCCTCTGGCTCCCCGTCACCTGCTCCCACTCTGTGTTATTCCAAGTGAGTGCACACTGCGCTGCCTGACACTAGTGGGACACTGACGATGATGGATTATGCAGCGTGTCATTGCTATAGGCCAATTGTTGTGTGATGGACCTATCGTCAACTTCAAAAGACTCTGCTTTAATAGCTTGAATTATGAAATTAGGAGGGAATACTGAGGGAGGGTTGAAGGAAGGGGAGCGCTGAGGATGTGAAGGAGGTGACTGAGAGAAAAACGTATCCAGAAAGATCAGAGTGAGGCTATACGGTGAATGAATGGAGATAACAAGAGCAGCTATGTTTGCAAATAGCACGGTGGCACAAGGACACAAGGTTAGATGGTTCAATCTGAGTAAAACATTTCAACCTATACTACTTCATTAACACATAGAGACAAGAGGAGAAGGAGGAAGAAAATAAGCAGCAGAGGAGGAGCTTCTTGAGTTCATGAGTTCAGTCAGAAGGAAACACACATGAACACTTGGTACATCCGCTGCTAGCTGGGTACAGTAACGTCTGCACAGTGGGCGCTGGCTGTAGCTCTGTGAGACTGTCAAAATAAATCTGTTATTCTACACTATGTCTTGGTTTTTTCCCCCCTGTATTTTTTAAATACATGAAAACGACATCAACAAAATTAAAGAAGAATGTTCTTTATTGTAATCTCACAAATATTTCCTTTTTATTTAACAGATGAAACTATTAAGCTCAAGTTTAAAACTGTAAAAATAATTCTAAAACTAGATGTAATTAGTGCTAATAACAGAATGACAAGGACTGAATCTAATTTCAATAGATTTGTTGGTTAAATGATCTTGTGTGAGATTTTCACAAAAATCTTTGAATGAGCACGTTTTCATCAGTGTGTCAGCGCAGTCATCCTGAGGCCAGTTTAACAAGACCAGACTTGTATCTAAATGAATGTGGAGAGAGGAAGAACTGCAATTTCACTGGTCACTGGCACATAAAAACTGCATGTATAGAATCACCAGTCAAAACTGATTTTTTTTTTAAAAATGCCTAAAAAGTTTGGTGACCTTGTCCCAAAATAAGATGAAGTGTTTTTTGAGGTTTTTTTTTTCCCCCCCTCCACAGGTTGAAGTTTTACTATTCATGAGTTTCACAGCACCAAACTTGTGATGATTGGCTCTTTGGAAGGAAGTATGGGAGAAGTGTCATATAACCTCTGAAACATCTCTGGTGTTGCCGAATTTTCCCATAGATTTCTATTCAGGAGTTTCTGTGTGTCGACTGTATCTGTCGGGACACACACACACACACACACAACCAAGCACACTTTAGATTGTGAGAACCCATACAAGCACAGGGAGAACATACAAACAAGACTAAGATTTGAACTCTTCTAGCTATGACGAAACAATGTAAGCCATAAACCAGCACACTGAATTCATTATATTTTGACCTGTTGATAGCACTAGGTGAGAAGCCAGGGGATCTGTGAAGTAACTAGCCTTTATAGAAGAGCACCAAAGTCAAAAGCGGTTATCTTTTAGGGAATCTAAACATCTGTCCACAAAGCTTCATGGCAGTCCATCACATACAAACACAGACATCCTTAGTTTGGCAAAAACATTGATGTGACGACACTATGACACCATGTTTATAGAACTGAACTGGACGAAACCCCTTTAAAGTCAAAATTCACTTCAATTGAAGGGATTCAAAGATGTCTTAGAGAGAGCTGCAAATATCACACACAGCACAAGGAAAAAGGTGTTAGAGAAAGAGAAACACGCAGTACTGGTGGCATCCAAGTGCTAAAACTGGTCTAGGATTTATGTAATATAGTGAGAAATGTATTCATGTTTTATATTGTCTTTTATGATGTTTTATTGTTGCCCTTTTTTCACAAATCCTCTTGTAATATATTCAAAAAGCACTGGCAAAATATTACAAACAGAATTCAGATTGGATCAATTGCAAAGTAACAGAAGAAAAAAAAAAAGGAATAAAAGGAAGAGTCAGGAATAAAAGCAAAGTAGAAAAAGGACGATATCTCAGAAAGATAAACTGAAACAAGTCTTTAAAATAGGAGAGAAAAACTACATTAACCTTGGAGGCAGATAAGGCCTCAAATAACGCGACAAAAAAAAAAAGGACTGGGACACGATGTATTAACAAGATGGGATAGTGCTGGTAATTAGAGAATACAGTGTAGAAAAGAGGTGGAGATAATGTCCAGACAGGGAATTGAACATGATGAGGAGGGAATCAGAGAGGAGGAGGAAGTAAATCTCCCCGAGGCACAATTATGCCCAGGTTTTTGTTTACCCATGCCTGGTGTAGACATCTGTTCGCACAGCACCCGCCTCTCCTGCAAGCCAATGTCACCCAGCCAACATTACAAAACGCCCCCGCTGAATTATTAAACAATGCTGAGCTACTGCAGGTGACTTAGATATGCCTGGGAGAGGGAAGCAAAAACTAGGAAATTACATGAATTATTGCCACGGTTGTAACTCGTAAAGTCATGTCTTACTTTAGTGTGGGAATTTTTTTTCTATTCATATTTTAAATGATGGTGTGGGCCGTACTGATGTCTGTGGTCTGTTGCACAAAAAATATGGATCGAGACTGTTTCAGATTTTTAGTTTTTCTTGTTGTGTAACTGAAAACAAGTTTTTCCCTGCATGTGTAGTTAAAAATAGCAAAATGACTAAACCAGGTTTTTCCCATTTTATCTCATCATCATCAGGGCACACTATGGAGTTTAAACAATTAGTCAAATAACAAAGTGGTTTAGAAAAAAATAAACCTGTAAATATCATTTGGTTCCAGCTTTTTGAATGTCAAACATGTGATGCTTCTTTTTTATGTTGGAGCCATAGACTGTATAAAAGATGGA